GCCTTTGAATTTTAAGTTGCTTGATATGAGATAAAATAATCCAAATTTTTCTCTTAAGTCATTTATAATACCCTTCCAACACCTGTTTTTTCAATGTCACGAGTTATGCATCACAACATCTGAAGTATTAGACAATAAAACTAAATTTAAAAAATAAATATAAGTAAATAATTAGACAATAGAACTAAACTAATAGACTCAACAGTATTTTTTTTTCATGTAAACACTAAGGAATGTTTAATAATTTTACTATATTATCTCGTAGTTTATGTATATTTATCTAATAGTTTAGTTATACTAATTAATATCTTAAAAATGGGTGGAACTAATGACACATGTAATTGAAATAATTATATATTGACAAAAATTTATTTTATGTAGAACTTTTGTAACAGCAGAATGAGAGGATTTAATGACTTTATTAATTTGAAGATTAATCACACACATACATAAAAAAAAAGTTATAAGAGGCACCAATATTTTTAAGCATAAAATTTGGAAAAAAATAAAGTATTGAAGCTTAATTTAGTGAAAATGATTTTGCAAACATAAATCTTAATTTTGATGTTAGAAGCAAGGTTAGAAAATGGGACTAGACTGATTGGTTCGATCGTGAACTAGTGGCCAGTCGGATTTGGACCAAACAACAAATCATTTTTTGGTGTGGACCGGCCAGAATCGGTTGAACCCAACGGTTTGTCCGACAAACCGGTTCAATGCATTGGAATTGTAGGAGGGATCTGCATGAGGAGTCTCATGGATATGGGGAGCTTTCAACAGATACGGGGAGTTTCCAATGGAGAGGAAAGGAATTGGAAATATAGTCAAATAGGGTAATAATATATTGAAATGGAGTTTTGTTAAAGAAGATGATTACTCGTTGGGCAAAAATCTCCTCAATGCCACATGGCAGATTTGGGATGGGAGGAAGAGCAACCAATATATCTTGGGAGATTTTACTTCTTTTAAATTCTCAAAGTATTTATGCCATCGACCACCACCGAAGGTCGTCAAGCGCTCGTGTCATCTTTAACTGTCGTTGATTGCCATCGACCACCACAACCACCATCGATCACCGCCAACCACCGTCGCCCACCACTGACTGGAAGCCGTCAATCGCTATATGTCGCTGATAGTCGACGTTGTAACTTGAAAAACCTAGTAACCATTTATCGACTGTGGGACAAGTTGCTGCAAATGTAATCATCTTTTTATAGTGGAATTGTTCAACTAGGTCAGTCCCTATAGTTTTTTTTCTTTCGAATTTTCCACATAAAAACTTCAGGTCATTATTAGTTGTTTTCTGACTGTGTGTTCAATCTTCGTACCACGCTATGGAGATAATACATTACTCTACCACCGCAAATTTTCTAGGATGCATCAATATCAATAATATATATCCACCTTTTGGTGATTACATATATTGTTGTTTTTTATGATGGTTAGCAATGATGTGATTATTCATAGTGTGCATTGTGTTATGTGAAAACAATGCAAAAATAAAAAATATCACACAATGTCAATAAAACACAATTGATATATGTGGTTCGGTGTTGAAATGATTAGCCTACATCCATGAGGAGGTGATTCCACTAGCACCGGATGGGGAGAAAAAAAAACGGCTTGGTGTTACAAGTTTTGCACTTCTCACCGTCAATTCTCTCATGAAACCTAAGTCCCTTTTCATAGAGGAGGATTAGAGCATAGAAGTAAAAAAGCCAAAAATATCAAATTATCCCTAATTATAATAAAAAGTCATAAACACAACAATCTCCACCTCATCTTATACTTACATATAAATAAGAGATGACCAAATGAGCTTCAAATTTTAATTCAGCTGCATCAAGATTGTTGTCTACTCTTGATCCTCATTGAAAGCAAAATGTCATTCTCTTGTTACTATCACCATTTAATTTATTACTAAAATTTAACCGCATATTTAAAGAATTCCATAGTTCAACATCTCACACTGCTCTGTTATGAAAATATGGCATCTCTAGCACTTGCAAATAATAGAACAATACATGCTTGTACTAAGCATATCAAAATTGATGGTTATCATTTCATTTGAGACCGCATTAAAACTTGAGTCATATATGCAATGTCTCCTCTCACGATCGTATTGCCGACATCTTTGTGACAAGTTGATAGTTTAGCTTTGAATCAACAAATTTTGAGACGATAACAACAAACTAAAATCAATTGTAACAAATATAACCGAGACAATTACGTATAACAACAGTCAATCTGGACCTTCATCTATTACAAATGGATAATACAAGACAACATAATCTCAATTAACTCTGTGAAAATGTGTGTGTGTGTGTGCGTGTAAATGTTTTATATGATTTTCTCCTTCTTTTTACTTGTTTTCAGAAATAGGGAAATAAGTTTTCAGTTTCACAATATATACATTCATCTTTCTCTGTTTTCTTCTTGCTTGTATTATGCTCTTTATGAAATAGTCAACAGAGTTAAACATTTAAATTTTATTGTTTTATATATATAGTGTTATACCTTTTAAAAAGCATTTTATTGTGTTATGCTTGTTCTGTTTGACATTTATAATCCGTTGTTTCAATTGTAGTTACCATATTAATTGTATCAATTTTATAAAAATATTGTAATACAATTTATATTCACATCTTATTGAATCTTTTTCTAACCATGTTCATAACATGATCGAGCCATGTTCAAACTCTATTCATTTTTTTTTGTCCATATTCAAACATTGTGTAAATTTTATTTAAACATGATTTGAATAATATTTGAATTTTGTTAAAACAAGGTTCAATTCAAATATTGACACAAACCCTGCCGTTATATAATTCAAATTTATTTTTGTGGCAATGAAATTTAAATAAGCATCTTGTGGTTCAAAATGTGGGTACTTTAATCTAACACAAGCTTTTGGATATATTTGGCCAATAAAATAAAAATTTGTTACATTTATTTATTATTTACTATTGTGGTTCATATAAATTCAAATTTTCTTTTATAAGTATACTAATAATTTGTCCTTATTTATAATATTATATTTCAACTGCAAACTAGCTTGATTATAGGTTTTGCAGGACCAAACTTGCCCCTCTTTCATCCGGTCCCTATTAAGTGATAACTATTTGGGAGAGAATTAAGGGTGTAAATAATTAGCTTGATTAATTTTTAAGTTGGGTATTTTTGAGTTAGGTTTTGGTTAAAACTTCGCGCACATTTAATAGTTTGTGCCATGTTGCCAAAGTGAATTTGAAATGTCAACATGAAATTTGACTTGCCAATCCAAATTTGCTCAAAATTGACATATACTTATTATGCATATATTAAATGGGTTATATCATTTGTTTAATTGGATTCATGTTTAACATTTGAGTGGGATTCATATTAAGTAGTTCAGGTCAATTTTGGGTCAAACACCATCCTGAATTTGAAATGTTAACACGAATTTGATTCACCTACACGAATTTAACCCGAACTTGAATCGAATTTCACCAATAACTATTATATGTATTAAACAAATTACAGGGGGCAGATTCAAGTTAGTTGGATTGAAAGCATGCTTAATATTTGAATCGGTTCTTGTTGAGTAGTTTCATATTAGGTCAATTTTGGGTCATACCCGAACCCAACTTGCAAACCCAATTTGATTCCCCTACAGAAGATTGTGGTACATCGAACTCAAGAATAAGTCAAAAGAAATTTGGGTCAGTAGCTCTGATTTGAACAGTAAACACTGCGTTGAATTATAGTTCCATATTTTACTTTCAAAGAATAAATAATGAATAAAAAACAAGAAAAATATAATTTATTACATTATTCGAAACATATTACATTTATTCAAGAAGTTATTGTGTTTTCAAAATTAGTACGTACAACCTTGAGCCCTTCTAGGCGTAACATTATATAAAAACGTGAAAATTTCATGAGCTATGCTCACTAGAAATTCTTTTGTGCAATACTTATGATGTAGCAAGTAAGAAATTTAAGAGTCCTGCCAACAAAGAAGTATGTGTCGAGATTTTCTCAGGTTATGAATCATTAAATTGTTTCATTAGTTGGCTTCTGATCAATTCCCATTATATTGAGGAATGAGTGCGCCATAAATGCATTTGCTCTTTCTGTGGGGTGATATGCATCCCAGAACACATACTTGCTTCTATCTTTACACAACCTTGACAATGGCGTGCATGTGAGAGAAGCTCTTAAATTTCCTATTGAGCAGCAAGGATCTGTTACGTTGGTAAAACCTGCAAACAAAAAACCAATTATTTCATCAATAAAGCATAATAATTTGATGGAATACACTTCAAAATAATATACAAACCATAGTTTTTTGGGCGATTTATAAGATCATAAAAGGAATTATAAGCATCTACAAACTTAAAAGTAACATTTGGAAGAGTTTTTGACAAGTTCTCAAGGAGATTCACGGATTTGCTATTAAACTTGAGAGCTAGCTTGTTTGTAGACTCTTGGCACTGCCCAGATTGATTAAAAAACCTCTGCAAAGGGATGCAACCCAGTGGGCCTAAACCAAAAAATGTCATCTGCCTTACTCCTAGCGAGTGCAAAACCTGCATTATATAAAACTAGATACTATATAAGAAGGAGAAAGAATTATACTTCAATTATTGACATGCATGGAAACAATAAGTAAACTATATGTAATCTTCATACCACATCGATGTAGTTTATGTTAATAATTTACCCTTAATTGGCTCTCGAGTGTAGTTATGAGGTAGTTCGTGAATGTATCTCCATCATAATTCCATGAGTCAGAGCAAAATGGCAAGAGGAAGTTGTTTATGTAGTCATTGCTTCCCATGGCTACAACATAGAGAGCTTGCTGGAAGAACTTGTCAGCAGCTTCCTTGCCAATCTTCCTTCTTATCATCTCTTGAGTTCCTTTGAACAGTTCGATTTGTTTCCAAAATGAATATCTTTGAATCTGCAATGCGAATAATTTTATATTACTTTAGTAAAAATGTTTCAGTTTATTTTGATTGGATTCAATAAAGAATGTGTATTGAAGCTTACAAAAATTGATCCGGTCTCATTCAAGATTCCACCTCCTCCTGATGCGTAATTGACTCCTTGGTTGATTATAGTATCTTCATCCAGTGAAGGATCAAGGAAAGGCGGTGGCCTTGGGAGACCCATTTTTTCACCTGCAACAATAAAAAGTATTGACAACAAGTGAATGTAACCAGACTAAGGATTCAAATTGGCTGAAATAAGAGTTATGCTTCCAATCCCTTAGTATTTTTATACTTATTTATATAAATATTTTAGAGGTTGAAATTGATAAAAAATATTGCCGTGCTCAGCCATGTTTTTAAAGTTTCTATCACCTATACCCTTCCTCCACAATTTTTGGTGCCTGCCACCTCAAAAATGACAGTCGTAGCTATCGGCTGTCACGTTAAAGCAGTCACTGCCCTTGGTGACATCAACTCTTAATTTATATCATATGCAATTTGCTTATAATGTGTTTGTCTTCTAGGGAAAATTATACTCAAAAATAATTTTATTGTGTTTCCCCTTAAGGATTTGCATTAGTCCGGAGTAATTTATGTAGCACATAAATATATCGGATTAAATCCCTTATAATGTAAGCATGCTAGCATACAAATGCCATGTGATAGCTCTTCTCATGGAAGGCCGAGCTAGCATTTTCAGGTTGAAAATGAATATGATGGATAGTAGATGTATCAAGCACAACTTTGTTGGCTCACTTTCTTCCAAAATTCTGTTAAATTCTATTAAAGCCAATGATCTAATCATAGTCAAATTGTTTGTAGGAATTATACTTTTCATGGGACATCAGAACTTCTAAAACAATAGAGCAAAAATCAACGGGAGTGCTCCAATAACTATTCCACACGATTAATTAAGTGTTGTGGTGCATGTTATTTTATATGATTTGAAGTGATTATATTTAAGAGAAATTGGTGATCATGTGAAGAACCCTCACATGAGTAGATATTGCTAATCCACAAAAAAATTAAATGGCATATAAGATTTATAGCTCTTATGGTTTATGCTAACAATTTTAACATGATTAAGCAGGCGACTCACATGACCGCACTATATGTGAAAACTCGAACTCTCATGCTTCAATGTATTATCTGTTTTTGCCAAATGATTTCACGGTTTTGTCTCGTTGGTGTAGCTTTTCTAGAGTTCACCTATCCTAGGAGTGCTCACATGCAATCACACTAAACTTTATAGTTTCTAAAAAATTTCACAATTACACCAAAAGATGTAGAAATATTTAAGAGTTTGGCTTCATTATGCTTGAGATGTTTTCTTACTATATGAAAAATATGTTATAGACTCACAATTTATTAGTGTTGAAAAGCATGCTTCCATCTAAGAGCAGGGGACTACCATGGTTGACGTCTAAATCCCTCACATGAGCGCTCATTTTCTGTCTTGACATCCGACGTACTTCTATGTGCGGTGCAGGTTATTCCTGAGTTATTTTCAGGTTATTTATTGGTTATTTTCAATAATCCCGAAATAACCCAGAAATAACTCAAAAATAAAGACCGCGGGTTATTTCGGAATTATTGAAAATAACCAAGAAATAACCTGAAAATAACTCAGGAATATTGTGCCGCACGTAGAACTACGTTAGGAGTCCGCACAGAAAAAAATTTGCTCACACTAAAAGAAGATTCTTAAACCACCTGAAATTCAAAATTCTCACATAAATAAAATAAATAATATATTATATATACCAATTAGGGTATCATTCCGGACAATTTTTCTCCCCCGCCCTGTCTAGCACTTTATAAGATTTTAACTAAATGAACTTTAAACAATTAAACCAGCACGCCACATGAAAGCCTAGAGGCAAGTTCCAACAATCTTATATAATAAAGTAATAAGAGTAGCAATTATATTACTTACCAACTATGTCAGCAATGGTGCGGCCATTAGTGAACCTTCCACTGGGCAGTCCATCGCCGAAGTCAATCCCATACCATGGCAAAGCCGGGCGAGCCAAGCTCCTAGTGAGATAGTAATTGTTCCCAACATCACTCAATGAATCGCCGAAGATGAACAGCACCATTGCAGAGGAACATCTCGTGTCTTCCAGTACAATCGACGCGAGCAGAAGCATGGCCATGGCTAGCTTTGCTCTTCTTATATTCCCCATTCTTATTGTTTCTATTGTATTAAGTCCCCTGGATTGATGAAGCAGCTGCTCTTATTTATACTTGGATTGAAAAGGAAATGTGCAAGCAAAGTTCTTCTAGTGCAGTTAAGAGCTGAAGGTGGATTTTTTCCGTAGAGTATTTGAGGATGACAAAGCAAAGATGGCGAAATCTCCATTGACTGTTAACCTAGGAGAGATAGATATGGGTATGCCGTAAACAAATTTGATCATTTGACATGAACCTCTAGATATGACATAATTTTTTAGATTAACTTTTGATCAAAAATATATTTAAAGTTCAATTTAAAATCTTCTACAACTTCAATTTTAGCAAACTTACAGTCAAACTGACCGGTTCAACAAGATGAACCAAATGATATAAAATTGGTCATTTCGAGCCAAATCAAGCCCCAATCAAGCCATTAAATCACTTTTGAAAGCTTTTTTGGCATATTTGGAATGTCAAATAGATTTTGAATCTAGTGTGCTTATAGTCAAATTGAGTGTCTCAACAACAAAAATCCAACGAGCCCAAGATCGCTCAATTTTGATATTATTAAGACACTCAAATATCCATGAAACACCATATGATCAAAGGAATCTCTTTGAGGCGTCATCCACCCAATTATTTTATTTCACTTTTCCATCCAAGTGAAATCACTGGAACAAACAGCGAGGTTGTTACCAACTCATCTTTTATGGGATTTCGGTGTTATGGCTTCAAGAAACTACTCGAGTTCGTATGGGAGAATCCACAGAAGGCCCCTACTATCAGCCTCCTCTAAACACAGCAAACAATCAGACCTAGGGGCTCTAGAAAATAGACAAATGTGAAGCTTAAGAAGGTTATACCGTCACAGTGCTTGATCAAAGTTCAGTCTTTGCTCAGGAAGAAACTCTCATTGTCATGAAAAGACTTCCGGCGGTGCTTCAAGTATTGGCCTTCGTTCCCCTTGGGTGATGAAGCTCTCCTCGCAAGGAGTTTTCTGGCGCCGCCGTAACACCACTCTTCGTTCTTCCTTTCTATTTCTCAGATTAAGATGGTGATCGAAAAAAAAATGCTAGAGGAGGAAGAATAAGAAGAATGGAGAAAAGGAAGAAGAAGGGTGAAGAAGCTCCCCAAAGACTCTCCAAAACTCTCCCTTAACCTCTTTGTGATCGTTCCTTAGCTCCTCCAAGTGAAATGAGACTGATCTCCCTAGATATCCCCCACAGGAAGGATATTTGCAGAGGTTCAAATGACATCTTGCCTCTTTTGGAAAGTGCCCAGGTTAGCTCTGAGGTCATTTTTGTCTTAGGACTGTTACAACATCTTATCCCGACGGTCGGAAGGTGGTCGGACAGAAAAACAGGGACTAGGCAATGAAATGAATCAAAACAGGTAGAATGTGTGGTGTGGCCATGCCACAAATAAGGTGTGGTCAGGTAGCTCCTAGGCGTGGTCACGCCCCATATGACATGGTCACACCTATCTTTTTTGGAAGCAATTTTATGGTTTTGATTATTTAGGTCATGTGGCAAGACTTGGAAGATCTTCCTTAAGCAAAAATAATGTTCTGAATGCATCTGTGTTATTCTTTCCACCATCCCGAGTCATCTCAAGGGTAATTATTCATGAGTAACCCAATTTGGGGCCTGACTTGTTCGCGTTGCGCATAAGAAAAACTCATCTGGTTGGGTCATCTCATTAATGTCTCATTAATGTAATGACAGTTGGTCCTCACCTCATAACAGTCAAAGTCTAGCGAAACTATCTTGGCCATGTGTCAGAGGATTGAAGATGGATATCTCAAGCCTCAAAGAATCATATGTGCGTGAAGCATACCCTAAGGTCGTTCGAGCATACATCATATGCACGTAACATCAAAATATGATGCCAACAATCAACTCATTAAAGGCTAACAAAAAGACAGTTCAAAAAGTAAGTCCAGTTAGTGATTAATGAGATCAAATTTGATGTGTTTATGAGCCTTTTATTCTTATTACAACTTCAACTCGAAGAAGCATAATACTCAGGGGCTTTATGTATAGCAAGAAAATATCACCACCCTTGTCGAGCCGAAGGAGCCGCCATTGTTGAAGTCATTGTAGTCAGAGCTGTGACAACAACCGAGCAGCCAACACCCAGCCTACCGACCACATTGGGTTAGTCAACCTTTTCCAATCGGCTGACCACTCTGGCAGGCTACCTCCAGCAGGGACTGGCCACCTAGCTCCAACCTGCCGGCCACCACCAATCGGCAGGCTAATATTGGGCCGACCAAGTTACCCCAATCGGCCGACCACTTCCAACCAATTGGCCCCCTTGGCCAGCCACCCGATGCGAAGGAACTCCAACAGACGGACAAGCTCCAAAACTTCAAACCTGGTCGAGAGAAGGACAAACATACCCTGCACTATTCTTATTAAAGTAAGGATATAATTGTAATCTCCATCTTTGTTTCTTTTCTCTTTATAAATAGAGGACCCTCAGCATGTGTAAGAGAGTCTCTAAGTTCTATCTCTTAAAGAAGGGACATAATTGTAATCTTCGTATTCCTTCCTTTTCTCTCTATAAATAGAGGACCCTTATCATGTATAAGAGAGTCTCTAGCTTCTCTCTCTTAACTCTTCTTCCCTCACTTGTAACACCTACTTTCTGTGGAATACAATAGGCTAAAGAGTCAGGAGAACGCCCATAATTTCCCCCAATGGAGCAGATCTCTCTCATTTTCTCTCCATCTCTTTGTCTTTCCCTCGGGGTTCACTCTCTGTTCCTTAGGCACGATCCACAAGCCAATTCTAGATTCAACACACACACACATACACAAATATATATATATATATATATAAAGCATACAACATATGAAGTCATATATAATGGAAATGATTTCTCTTAATTTAGCTCCACAATATGTATGTATAAATATGATAGCCTATATATATATATATATATATATATATATATATATATATATCAACAACAAATTACCTCATCTAGTGTGGATCTCGAGGTATATAACAGATCTTAAAACAACTTTTTGAGCAAAAAACATTCAAAGTTCAACTAAAAGTCATCTAGAACTCCGATTTCAGCAAACTTACAGTCAAAGTGACCCATTCAAAGTTCAACTAAAAGTCATCTAGAACTCCGGTTTCAGCAAACTTACAGTCAAAGTGACCGATTCAACGAGATTGACCCAACATTGCTCCAATTTGAGCCCTATCAAGGCCCAATCAAGCTATTAAACCAATTTTGGAAGCTTTCTGGGCATATTTAAAAGGTCAATCTGATGTTGAATCTAGTGAACATATAGTTTAATCGAGTGTCTCGACAAAACAAATTCAACAAGCCTAAAATCACACAATTTTAACATCATTAAGCTAATCAATTATCCATCAAATACCATTTGATAGAAGGAATCTTTTTGAACCATTCGATCTGTGTGTTTTAAATTATTTCATTAATTGTAATCGTGATTCTATAAATAGAGTCTCATCCCTCATGATCGGAGAGAGAGCTTGAAGCCTGTAGAAAATTGAAGCTTATAGAATGAGTTGAAGTTTGACAACACTTCGCTGCAGACCAACAATCGCCACCCTTTGCAGACCGACACTAGCTGACTGCCGTCGGTCACTATCGGCCGCTTCCCTCTTCTTGCAATAAGTTCATCAACTTTGTAGCTTGGAAGATTGTGTATCCCTTTCATGCATGTGGAACAAGAAAATGCACTTGCAAACTCCAGTTTATAGTGAATCGCTTAACTGGGTCCGACCCCGTGTTTTTTCCCTTTATGGATTTTTCATGTAAAAAACTTTTGATTTCTATGTCTTTATTTTCTTTTGAATGAGTGTGTGATGAATTCTTATGCAACGCTAAGACAATAATCCTTTACTCTACCGCGATAAATCTTCTAGCATGCATCTGATATTGAGACCTGGTTTGAGGCTTTGAGGCAGACAAGCGGAAATTTGAGGGTTGGATGGACCTTCCTTCAACTTAACTTCAAGAAGGATTTGCCTAATTAGAGGTCATAGTTTTAACGGTTATGGGAGGAGTTGAATTTGCCTCATAGGTTGGGTTGGTGGGTCATGTTTCTAACTTGAGGGTTGACACCATATGTTGCTAATGAATGTGATTGCAATGTATACAAATTAATGAATATTTCCGTACTCCTATGCTTTTTATAAGCCTATGTTTAATTTTAGTGGAGAAAGGAAACACATTTAATAGAATTTAAGACTTAGTTTTTATTTGGATATCATGTAATGATAACGTGAAAGAATTAAATTCAAAAATTTGGCATTTAATATTTGGTATTTTAGCATTTATAATTTAATTCTAAGAAATAACTTAGGTATTGTTTGGTCGCCAGTACTAATAGTGTGTAATATATACTTAGAATGCATCACTTTGGAATTTAAAATTGCTTGATATGAGATAAAATAAATCCATATTTTCTATCAAATAATTTATATTACTCTTCTAACAGTTCTTTTTTTTTTAAAATTTCTTGAGTTATCCATCAAGACATCTTAAGTATTAAACTAAACAACTAAATTTGAAAATTAAGTATGACTAATTAATTAGACAGTAGAACTAAACTAATAGACAATCACAATATTTTTTTGTCATGAGTATGGTTAGGAATTTTTAATAATTTTACTAAAAAAAAAATTTTCTCGTAGTTTATCTATACTTATCTAATAGTTTAGCTATATTAATGAATAGTTTATAATGAGTGAAGCTAATGACACTAGGGCTTTCAAAACTGCTCGTTGTTCGCGAACAGCTCGTGTTCGGCTCGTTAAGAAGCTCGTGTTCGGCTTGTTCGCTAAGTTAACGAGCCGAAGACAAACAACACGAACAAATATTTGTTCGTTTGTGTTTGGCTCGTTTTGGCTCGAAATACTACTAATTAATTATATATATATATCTTTGATGAATAGTATTTTTTAAAAATTTAATTGTTATAAGGCTACAAAGATTTATAATCAATTAAA